ATACACATTTTTATCTAAATAATTGATGTAATTGATTTAATGGCACAATAATTTATTTGTCAAACTTCTTTTTGACCCTATAATTTATTTTAATACGCCAGTTATATATTTATACATTTATTTCCAATAATGATAGGTTTGGTCCTCCATAGTATTTATGTTGATTTAAAGAAAGCATTCAACACCATTCACCATGATATTCTTCTTGAAAAGCTACAGAAATATGGCATTAGAGGACCAGCACTACAGTGGATATCTAGTTATCTAAAAAACAGGAAACAGTTTGTACAGATGAATGAAGTAAGATCTGAACTCTGTAACATTATGTGTGGGGTTCCTCAGGGTTCTGTACTTGGACAAAAGTTATTTATTTTATATGTGAATGATTTGGTTAATGTGTCAGGGTTGTTTAAATGTATTTTATTTGCAGATGACACTACATTTTTTTGTTTGTGTAAAGACATAAAACAGATGTTGGAAATGATGCAAGCAGAATTTGTGAAAATACAAAATTGGTTTAAACTTAATAAATTATCAATAAATTTAGAGAAAACTAACTATATGATATTCAGTAATAGAAAGGAAATTACTGATGTTCCATTTAGAGTCGATGGTGCTGAGATCTGTAGAGTCAGTGAGGTGAAGTTTCTGGATGTCATCATTGATGAAAAGCTGACACGGAGACCTCACATAAATTATCTAAGAACAAAAATTGCTAAATCTATTGGAGTACTGTATAAAGTAAGGGAGTTATTTATTGATGTATTGAGCTAAAACTCGGTCTGGTAGTAGCTGAGAGTCATTCTCAATTTGCACTTTAAGCTTAAATAAATCAAATGAGATCTTGTAATTCTGCATCACGTTATTTCCAAGGTTTGGTAAACGCAGCTCTTTTCAAAAACAGATGATTTTGATCTAAAACTCTGCAGTATGCCTTCAAGGAATGCTAGGTCCTACATTTTTGTTTTTGTTACCTGTGACTTGGACCAACACAGCTGCACTCTGCACCCACTGCCCTGAGGGATTGAAGCTGTCTCTGGCCCTGCAGCGATAATACCCAGAATCCTCTGGGCCGAGTTTAGTGAGGATGAGAGTTTGTGTTCGATCATCAAAGGCGAACTGAGAAAGGCTGGGCTGGCTGTGAGAATCCATGTGTGACTGGGATGGAAGGACAGAGTTGTTGAAGAGCCAGGAGAAGTGAGGGAACGTTCCTCTGCTGACCTGACAGCTCAGCCTGGCAGCAGCCAGCTTGGACTCAGCCGTGTACAGGTAGTCCACCTCCAGTTTCAGCCTCCCTCCAACTGGGACTGGACCAACAGGGACGATGGATGTTAGCTAAACAGCTTATGGCTCAACAAAACACGTGCATTTCATTCACATTTCTCACCTACTTCCAGAGTCACAAACTCACTGAGCAGGTCCTGCACGTCAGTTTTCAGCCGACACCGTGCATCGCCCATGTCCAGCCCAATTACCAGGGCCACGTCAAACCAAGCAGAAAGGGACTCAGAGGCGACGACAGATCCAACCTGTTTGTCATCGAGCAGAAGATAGAAGGTCGCAGGAGGGCTCCCTCTGGATGACCAGCAGGTTATGTTGCTGTGGTAACTGCCTCCAGCTTTGAAGACGGAGAATGAAATCTCTGGTTTTGAAGCATAAACTATATCAAGAAAATGAGGTTAAAAATAAGACAGAGAGAGGGATGATAAAGTATCAGATTTAGAGAAAGAATCAGAATTACAGTGGTTATAACGTGACTTGTGCTGTCTAAACATCCTACCAGATCAGGGGTCTGCAACCATTATGATCAAAAGAGCCATTTCTGCTACTTGTCTCACTAATAAAATGTGTTCAGAGCCGCAAAACAAGCTAGAACAGTGATTATCAACTAACGAACGATGTTCGTGGTCCTCTTTGAGACCTTTTCAGGAAATGGCCAGTGGAGGTGACATTATAAAACTAAAATATATGCTGTGAATTTTATTATTATTTTGCACATCAGGATAAATAAAAAGACCATATCCATGTAAAAAAAGAAAAAAAACTGCATACAGTTTTTACAGAATTTCACGAAAGCTAGTACAACCGAACTATTCAGGCATGTTTTATTTTTCTGATTCTTATTATGTAGTCTTCAAATACTTTAAAGGTAATTCTGATGGATTTGAGAGAAAGATCTTAGAAAGGAGTTGGATTATTTAACTAAACAGGCTAGCATGAGCTAACGTGTTTTACTTTTTGCAGTAGTAGTATTGATCACATATTTGCATACTAATTTATTTCGGTTGTGAGTTTAAAAAACTATATATATATATATATATATATACAGTGG